AATTCATTATTACATTAAATTTCTTGCCATTCAAGACACCTTAATGCTATACTGATCTTTAAAAAACAATTACAGATATCACGACATTGTCAGTGAGCTTACTGTTTATACATGCTTCACGGACGTAAATTCAGACTAATTATACAATGTACTATAATATCAGTAAACGAACAATAAATGTCATACAATTTTTTTTAATTCTACCAATAACATATGGCTAGTGAGGAGAATATATAAGTCATTTGTTTTATTTAATGTCACTAATTTAAACATTTAAGGTCACTTACTTTAACTTTTAAGAAAACAATTAATTTTTTACAAAAAATGTTTGTCTGTCAATTGCCAAACTTTTTTTTAAAAGATTGTTGAACCATATGGTTTGCTGATTTTTCTTTAGATATATTTGAATTAGAATTTAATTTTAAAAAATTATATTCATATTGGTTTAATAATTTATGTAATTCATAATTAAAGAAATGCACATATTTTTAGAGATATTCTTAAAGTTTCAAACAAAGTCCTTTTATCGCCGACTAGATACACCAGATACACCATGTACAATTGCCAGGCGACCTAATTCAGGCATAACGCACATTAATTAATTCTTTAAACTCCAATTTACTTATCTATTTATTTGCTGAAAGACAAAACAGAGAATATAACCACTCACTTAACATCGACGAAAACGATATGAAATATAGGCAACCTGTCGAAAAGCCCGCGCTTATTGAAAATAGTTCGCTTACAATCTGCATTCAGTAGCGTATGTGCACAAATTGTTATATCACGATTACCCTAATAAAGTAAATACAATTTAATTCTCAAACAAAAATATTGATCAATTAACAATTCCGTAGATTGAGATGTAAAATATATTTGTTTAAGTATCGTCTTTCAATGTGACTATTTTGTTTATCGGAAGCGTCTGCTTTGACGCTGTTAGGCTTTTTGTTTACTTTTCTGAACATGTGCTATTTATAGTAAGGCAGTCGATCACGATGCCTACAGCCAGGACTTTGCTTTCAGCAAAGCCCGGCTAAAAACGTATTTACTCTGTCAGCAAATTTAGCGACTTCTGTTCAAAATTAAAACGTAATTTCCGTATGTTTGAAATTGGGAAAAATATACTAATAATTGGGAAAAAATAGCTAATTTTTATGAGGGGAAACAGCCGAATATCGGTAGCATTTTGACCCAAAAATAATCACTGATTTGCTGAGAAAACTACGACCAAAATTTGTTAGGTATGATACGGACAGACGCACAGATAAACAGGAAGTTGACATCGGATTCATACAAAAATGAATCCCACCATATGGCATGCCTAAACAAAGATTGTGCTAAAATTTCAAGCATCTGCAATGAGTAGTTGCTGAGAAAACTGCGACCAAAATTTGTTAGGGACAGACAGACACACAGACGGACAGACAGACAGACGGACAGACACACAAGAGTAAAACAGTATACCCCCCTCTCCTTCGGAGCGGGGGTATAATTATTTGCCTACGAAATTGCATACACGCACTAAAGAAGACAAAAAGGATCATTTTCTCACACTTTAACAAAATTTTTAGATATGAGTGGGTCTTCGCTCCATTTTTTTGAAAGTTAATCCTAAAAGTTTGCATAAAATATACATTTTTTGGTTTACAAAAACATGGAGCAAAGACCCACTATACCTTAAAAGTACACTTTTATGAAAAAGCATTCGCATCTTTCCAAGAAATACTTAAGTCCATTGAGTCAAGGGTTCAAGCGTCATATCACAAACATGATTTAAATGCCACTATTAATCAGGAGCTGTGTGGCGTAGTGGTTAGCACGTTAGTCTCAAAGCAATATGATACTCCAGATTTTTATTGTTAGGGGTTCGAATCCCACAAATACCATTTTATTTTTTTAATAAAAGAATAAATTTTTTTGAGATCTTTTTTTCTCAGAAAAGTTTTGTTGATCATAATTTCATAAATTTCAATAATGAGAACTTTACTTTAAATATCTATTTCACAAATTGAATATGATTTTTTTTTAAAATCTGAAGCTAAAGGCATTCTGCATGCCTTGTTCACCCATCTTCTTTAGCTCATCTGTGTTGTTCTAACATGGTAAGGATTTCACAAATCTCTACTCCCCTGTGACCTGGTTATCAATGAATGATAATATGTGTTGTATTGTTCTAACATTCATTTCAGCAATTCCTGCACCCACAATCATTACCAATGAATAATAAAGATACTTATGTTGTTCTGTTATTAAGCTTACCCATGTTCTTCTGACTTTAAGCTTGTTATCCCCTCGCAACGGAGTTGGAAGGGATATACAGTGTAGTAATGCAATTGTGTGTCTTTGTTTGTGGGTGGGTTAGTTTTCCTGTGCGAAACAGAAGTGAATTTGCACCGGCCATGATCGAATGTTGCCTTGATGTACACGTATGAATATTTTTAATTTATTCATCTATTGTCTGACCTTTTAATATTCCAATCACATAACCAGGGGCTGACAAATCCCATTGCCCGACGCCCGGGGCTAGTGAATTTTAGAGGCGGGCAAGTGAATTTTTAACAAGCACTTGTCTGTAGGCAAGTGACTTTAATAAAACCAATCAATAAATATTTTTAAAAACGTTATAGTTTTACACAAAATTGAAATTATTTTGTTGTGAGAGTTATCTTCCTTTGCTTATCACACTTCGTACATGTATGCAAACCAATTTAATTGTGTCATCATACCATTACAAGTTTTTGGTACATGTATTTGTACTTAATTGAAAGAGATAAATTGGCATTGGAGAAATGGAGAATGTTTTAACAGTTATGAGGCAGAAAACGATCAAAAGCTGATGATAAGTACATCGTCCATAACTACCGTCTAGGCATACATGTACCAAGTATGAAAAAAGAAAAACAACGGTCGGAAACAATTATTTTTAACAAATAGCAGGTATCAAGACTTTAGCTGAAATATGATAGTGACACATATTGTACGTCTCTATATGAGTGGAAAATTCTTGAATGGGACGTAAAACAACATACAATCAATCAATCAGCAGATTGTATGGTACTTAGTACAAATTTACTGGCAGGTGGTTTTAAATGTCGCCAATTAATATTCAAAACAACACATTCGAAGTTGCAAAATTGTTCGATTTGGTGATGAATTAATTCATAATGATGAATATAAAGTGCTGGATAGTACACAACAATAAAAGAATTAAAGGAAGTATGTTTTGTTGTTTTAAATGAAATCGAAATTATTTTGTCATAAGTGTGATCTTTAATTTATAGTTTACGGTGGGGCAAGTAAAAATTGAAGTAGGGCAAGTGAAATTTGACCATGCACTTGCCCGTGGGCAAGTGCTTTAAAAATCTTTTTGTCAGCCCCTGCATAACTAAAACTAAACGAGGGGGATAATAAAATATAACATACAGCATTTTGCTTTTCCAAGTGTAAATAATTATAATTGAGTTGTGTGCAATCTGGTTTGAATTTTTGTTAACATCATATATAGCTACTTAGCTTAAATTACCTACGTACAGTGAAGTGGTCAATAACAGGTTTACGTATCCACGATTATTGTTGGTATTTTTTACGCATGTAAACATTTACTTCTTAACAGCTTTAAATCACTATTTATTTAGCTACATACATGTAGCTTGCCTATGCACAGTGAAGTCGCCAATTACGGGTTGTCTCAGTTCTGATTTATTGTATGTATTTTATGCCATATTGTTTAAATTGAAGCACAGAAAAATTAATAAACACACTGGTTAAGAATTGATTCAATCTGATTAAAATCAGATCCTTTGATCCGCTCACATAGATCGCTACACAAGGATCTGAAGAAACCCCATTCAGAGTCATCTCCCGGTGACCTTTCAGTTATCCAATCAAACATTTGCTTGTAAGAATTTAGAAGTATCTCGGAATTTAGTTATCGGTAGCCTGTCAAAAGAAATATATTTAGTACTTGCTTTTGCCTTGTTTTTTAGCTCTTTGTTTTGTTCGAAATGGTAAGATCTTCTCCACAGCTACTTTCACTTCTACATTCATTTTTCCGAATGTCGCTTAAGTACGATCTCTCTGACTGGTCAAAATTTTAATGAATATTTTTATTAGAAACGTCACCAGGAGATGACCCTGAATGGGGTTTCTTCAGATCCTGGTGTAGCGATCTATGTGAGCGGATCAATGGATCTCTGATTTTAATCAGATTGGAATTGATTGTTCTGTCTGTAATCAGTACAAAATTTCGAAAATCAATATTAATGTTTTTATTCCTGCAGCAAGGCAAAAGTTTTAGTTAAACAATAATAGCTGCAGAGTATGGCACTTACTCAGAAATCATTTATAATGATCACTGCTAAAATAAATTAACACTGATTCATAAATTAAATTGTAGCAGCGGTCCACATTCCTCATGACATGGAACATCAAAACTCAGCATGCTCAATATTCAAAACTTAGTGTCAACTTTTTATCTACTTGCAATTATAAAAGTATTCTCCAAGGAAAATATAAAAAGTAAAATTGTATTTCCCTTGCAAAAAAAAAAAAAAAAAAAAACGGTAAATAAATTTATCCCCTCACAATAAAGTTGGAGAGGATGTTGCAACGCTCGTGTGTTGTGTGTGTGTTGGGGTGGGGTTGGGGGATTGGGAGTGAGTGGGTGTGTAGCAAAAGTTTAGCAAGTAACAATTCATATCAGGATTGATATACTCTTTTGTGAGGGGATGCTCCGCTTTGCGGTGCCCTTAATTGTTTTAATTTTGATGTTAAGCTAACCTGTGCTATTCTGGTGGTTTTAGCTAACATATAGTTTTATGACATTCAGCTCACCTGTATTGTTTTCACAATGAACTCACCTGTATAAATTGTTCTCACACTGTGCTTTGTGAAAGCACAGTGTGCTTTGTGACTGTAAATTGTTCTCACACTGAACTCACCTGTGTTAATTGTTCTCACACTTAGCTCACCTGTGTTTGTTTTCACACTTAGCTCACCTGTGTTGTTCTGACATGGTAAGGGAAGTTCTTGTTGGCAGCTTGTGGCCTTGTCAGTATCTATTGGAACAATTACAAATTGTATAATGGAAAATAACTATAATTATCATAAAATCCACAAAGAAATGATCAAGTTTTTCTTATGAAAAAAAAATCATTAATTTAATAATATTATGTATATCATGAAAAATAATTCAATTTTCAAAAATATTTTCCTCTGAATCACAATTTGTTAGGTGTCTACATCACTGCCCGGGATTTGTTAAACTGAATTACTTACAGCATAAAATCCACAATTTCACTACATAATTTATATATGTTACATATTCATGTATATTCATGACAAAAATTACAGAGTTTGAACTTTTTTGTTTCATAAAAAATGCATGAAAATCATAATGAAGAAAATCAATCTAATGTTCGTAAAATAACTTTTGATGTAAATAGATTAATATTGAAGAATGGATTTTAAAAAGCACTTCTTTAAATTAAGCAATAGTCAAGCTGTTAGTTTTATACATAAAATAAACTAAACATACATGAGTTTATACTTACTAAAAAGAACAAGTGGCTAAGAAGTTCGACAAAGAGATTTACACTATGAATGGTCTTAGCTCGGATCCACTTATCTATGGCAAAAGCAGCACACAGTGATGTGATGGGCCCAAGCCAGAACCTTAATCAGGGGAGGTAAGCAGGGTTTAGTGAGTTATAAAGCATTAATGTTGTCTATCTATTAACTAAAATCTAAGTTACATATATACTAAGATGTTAGCAATTAGCTAATCAGTATTTACAAACTAATATCTAAAAAAAAAAAATAAATAAATAAATAAGCTGAAATATGTTAACATGTCCTCATTAGCATTAAACAAAGTACAAATATTGAAAAAAAAATAAACCCCAGTTTATGAGGAATGCAAGTGAATGATTTGGGTTTTTGCATACTGCAATATTCTGTAGGAGCTTAAAGTAGCATTTACACAGAAAAGATGGGTAGTTACTTAACAAAAAATTATGGATGCAAACTGCATGATGAGCATTCATGATTTACATTCTTCATTTTTTTCAGATTTTCTCGAATTCATAGAGTTAAGGAAGCTCGGAACCTGCTCACTTTAGTTTAATGCAGTTAGAGTGATCTACCCTTTGATGTGAAATGAATTAAATGGGAATCCAGAAGTACATGATACATCTTGAAAAAGAATAAAGTATTCTTAACATTATATTCGACCAAGATAAAGGAACTAAAAACATAATTTAATATGCATGTATTTTCCCAATGTAAGTAACAGACAAGGATATCCATTCTTTAATACTTCACTCTCTTTGAAGAATTTTCCTGAGAAATATTGCAGGTACTTTGTGTTGAAATAAACTAAAGTCAAATTTAGTATGTATACATTTATATGATAAAATTTCCTCAAAGTCCAAAAAAGATTTTTCATAAGTGTTTAGAGCTCCCTTAAAGGCAGAGATTTTAAGCACCGCCTTCAAAAATACCTGGTCTGTGTACCCCTGTCAATCAAGTACGTTAAGGTACATCATTGGGTGCTAGAACTTGATTGACATTTACTTACTAGTCCCTGTGTATACCCTGTACACCTTGTTTGACACTCCTGGTGTCCATCAAATTTACTTTTGATTCTTTGATATTTACCACACATGGTATAAACAATGGAGAAGCTGTATTACTATGAAATTTTTAGCGTGATAATATATATACATACACACCTTTAATATTTGAAATAATTATGATTTTCTTTAAAATTTGGTATAACTTTTTTTTTCATAGCTCAACAAATACTTTGAATAATAATATTTTTTAATGGGCGGGGATACTTTGACACATATTCAATTACAAATTAATAAAAATTATTGAGATTAAAATTTATTTACAACTTTTTATTTCTATTTTAAAATCATCTCAAAATCCCAACACAGGTAAAGTTTGACTTCTTGGGTACTCTGCTGTGTATTAAATCACTTCCTGTGTATAGGGATTAGGAGACAAATGGCCGCAGGTAGACTGCTAGCCCTCAGGGCATTCACACCTGTACAAAATAAGCCCCTCCCTCACCTGGAATTTACCACCCGGTAAAAAATCTCTGTCTTTAAATGTAAAATAAAAAATAAAGTTATAACAGATGAACTAAACAATTTTTACAATATTATTGTAATAAACTGTAGTAAACTGAATAAATAATAAAGGAATTAAGCTACTAATTAACTAATTACTCAAGTTTGTACAAGTCTAAAATCACATATTATACAAAACTCATGGGAACATGTATAATACGTTAAAATGACAAACTGTTTAAAAAATTAAAAAGCATTTTTATAACAAAGCTTTCACATTAAAAAGAGAAGAGAGAACATTTAAACTACAATGTGTACATCTACCATGATGGAGTTTGATCATTTCTGTATGCAAAACTCTCCTTGTTTTTAAAATTAAACGTCTAGATCTACCATAGAGTTAGCTCTATACAGAGAGGCATGCTAGACTTGACTAAGATCTATACAAAGAGACATGTTAAACTTGACCAAGCTCTACAGAGGCGTGTTAAACTTGACCAAGCTCTATACAAAGAGGCATGCTAGACTTGACCAAGCTCTATACAAAGAGGCATACTAGACCTGACCAAGCTCTATACAAAGAGGCATGCTATATTTGACCAAGCTCTATACAGAGAGGCATGCTAGACTTGACTAAGCTCTTACCAAAAAGAACATGTGTCCACAAAATGCGACAAGATTTTCTACCCCTACAACAGTCTTTTCTCTGACCCAGAGATCCATGACAGTTAGAGCTATTATAGCTACAATGGGACTAGCCCAAAACCTTTAAAAAAATCCATATTTTAATTTAGAAGGTAGACACTCCCACTGAAATAAGTCAGCAACTTCAAATTTTACCCGGTAAATACAAACAAATCTAAATGCAATTCAAACTAGTACTGGAGTTAATGTTATTTTCCTTACTCAAAATATCTTCAAATGAATTAAAAAGCTTTAAGCAATATTATAATAAAAAAAAATAACAATGAATTTAAGATAAATACAGAGATACAAAATTAATCACTTACCAGACAGTGTAGAAGATGAAGAATGGATAGTAGAACATGGCTTTTGACTTGTAATGTTTGAGGGTGAAGAACACAGAATAACAGAACCAGGCCCAGCCCAGCAGGCGCATAGTGATCAGTCCATACCCAGGGGGGCTCTCATACAGGTACAGCACCTCACCTGGGTCAAACACCTGCAAGGTATAATGGGAGAAAATAAGACTGAGTGTAAACTCATGTTTCCAATGGAAATCAGTCTCTGAAAAGGTTAATTAATTTTCCACTTACCAAAGCCTCATAGATAAACAGGATCACAAAGGTGACAAAATACAGGGTAAAGAAGACAGAGATTTTTATTGTACTGGCTGATGTTAGCTTTCCTCTGGTGATTGTGTAACCCTTGGCCATCAGAATCAACAGCAATATAAAGGTCAGGTAACTCAGAGTCCCAAAGCCTCGAGCTGGAAAGAAAACAAGGAAGTAAGAGTTGTTCCCCTTTAAAATACATTCATACTAAAACTTACAGCTGTATACTTCATTGATTACATACCTTAAAAGAGTTAATTGGGAGATAATTTCTTGATTAAATTAGACACATTATCATTTGATGAATCATTTCATACAGACTATGACAATTATGAAATAACTTTTACTTTAGAATTTGTAATTCAAATGTATGATTTCCAGCTCACTTGTATGATTTCTGTTCCAGTCTCTTGTAAGCAGTGTTGGCGTACTTTCCATAAGCTATACTGTATAAGAGTTATTTCTAGCCTACCTGCGTATTCTGTTCCTGACTCTTTATAGCCAGTGTTGGCATATTTTCCGTAAGCTATACTATATAACATTAGACTGATTTCTAGCCTACCTGTGTATTCCGTTTCTGTCACTATTTATAACCAGTGTTGGCGTACTCTCCATAAACTATACTGTACAAGACTGATTTCTAACCTACCTGCATATTCCGTTCCTGACTCTTTATAACCAGTGTTGGCGTACTTTCCATAAGCTATACTGTATAACATAAGACTGAAGGTCCAGAGTCCCAGGGACACCATGTACATCTTGTACGTCGTGTGGAACAACTGTCTCTGTCTCAGCAAGTCTGTCAAAAGGTTACATTCATCATCTACTTAAATCAACATTCCTCAGACACCCTCTTTATAGAATGTTACACTAGCTGTCTTTTTGGTTTTGTTTTGCCAAAAATTAAAAAACTCTAGCAAGAATATTAATATATGTACGTATTAAAAAGAACAATACATTGCAAGAACAAATAAATAATTTTGACGCATAATTTGTAACTTGAAATGATGTCTTTATTGAACTTGGAAGTACTTTTTTTACATGCATTAACTTATACAAATTGATTTTCAATGAACACTTTATATGTTTAAATAAGTGAATGAGTATAAGTAAAAATCACTGCATGGTCCAGTATTTTTGAAGTTTTGAAAATCAATGTACAACAGATTTTCCAAGAGAGTTTATTATGATGTGCATTTGTAACTTGAACATTTTCTTTTCAAACTTGTCAGGTGCTTTAAATATTCATCAGTACAATATTTCTACTTACGTGCAAACAATATGGACACACCCAAAACTAAAGCATACATAATGGTAAAGGAAATATCAATGGGCAGGATATCTACAAAACAAACAATACACTCTTTACAGGATTTGTATCAAGGGGGTATGGAGTGGAAATCAACAACTGAGTGAATTTAATAAAAATCTCAAAGTTCTGAAAATCAATAAATGAACCAGAAGAGTACATACAAAATTCATCAGCTGAGAATTCATGCCTTAGGATATCATCAGATTTAGCATTGGTCATATGTAGTGAGTATTTTAGGTTCAAACCAACAGTTCCCTGAAAGAGAAACAAAACTAGAGACTGTGTGAGCTCAAAAAAGGATACAAGTATGCTGCTATTCATTCTTTTTCCCCTCTAACCTTGACCATGTGTAAAGGTAGAGTTGAAATTTAGGGACCATGTGTAGGCCCCTGCCTATGAAGTTATGAGAATCAACAGTATACTGTGAACAAGAGGCCCAGGGGCCACATTGCTTACCTGAACACTTTGGCTTGGGAAAAGCAGAAATCAGTTCAATCTTGAGAAGTTTAAATATAAAAGTGGTCAGGTGTGGGGGTATGATTTGAACTAACTTGAATCTACACTTCCTAGGGATGCTTTTGAATTTATTTAATATGACACAAAATGGCTTTGCTGTTCTTAAGAGGAAAATATTTATTGATATATCCTTTATATTCCTTTGTATAACTTATAATGATCCCCTGTTATGGCAGCGATTTTTTTCTACCCATTGGGAAAGGGTCTGGTACCGGTTCAATTGGGAAAAATAGCATCAAAGTAGAACAAAGAAAAATTTTCTGTCATAAAAACATATGAAACATATTTTGCGTCTATTCCAACCTCATTACCTATTACTCCGTGTTTAAATGAATAAACAACAAGTATTTATTGTTTTTTAATTACAATGTCCCTTGTTTTCGCATTTTCATGCTTTCAATTTGTCAAAATGTAAGACACTATGCTGTCTACACCACGACTAATCTCTACTTTCGATTTAAGCGGAAGTGGAACAATTAGTCAAATTGTACAATGTTTCATATAAAAAGAAATATGATGTCATCGTAGTCTGTTGCTTGGCCGTTGAATTGGGAATTTTTAGTCTCAAAATTGGGAAAAATTAACGTTTTTTGGCATTGGGAATGGTACCGTTTATCAATACCAGTTATGTAAGGAAAAAAAAACGCTGTATGGTCCCTCTATTCTCATGATTTGAACAAATTTGAATCTACATTACCTGAAGATGCTTTAATATTATTATGACAAATCATGGCTTTGCTGTTCTTGAGAAGAATTTTAAAGATTCTTCCTACGTATTCCTATGTTAGACTTTGATCCCCCTACTGTGGCCCCACCCTACCCCCAGGGGTCAAGATTTGAACAAACCTGAATCTACACTATCTGAGGATCCTTCCATTTAAATATGACTAATCATGGCTTTGCTGTTCTTGAGAAAAAGATTTTTAAAGATTTTTTTCCTATGTATTCCTACTGTAGATAAAACTTTGATTGCCCATTGTGGCCCCACCCTACCCCCGGGGGTCATGATTTGAACAAACTTAAATCTACTGTAACACTACCTTAGGATGCTTGCATATAAATATGACCAATCGTGGCTTTGCTATTCTTGAGAAGAAGATTTTTAAAGAATTTTCCTATGTACATTATGTATTCCTATGTAAAACTTTGATCACCCATTGTGGCCCCAACCTACCCCCAGGGGTTATGATTTGAACCAACTCGAATCTACATAAAATGAGGATGCTTGCATATAGATATTACCAATCATGGCTTTGCTGTTCTTTAGAAGAAGATTTTTAAGGGGGGGGGGGGGGGGTGTCATGATTTGAACAAACTTGAATCTACACTACCTCCATTGATTCCACACAAGTTTCATACTTTCATAGTGGTTCTTGAGAAGAAGATTTTTAAATGATGCCATTAATTTTTCACAAATTCATAATTATCTTCCCTAGAAGGCGTGGCCCTTCATTTGAACAATCCCCTTTACCCAAGGATACTTTGTGGCAAGTTGGGTTGAAATTGGCCCAGTGGTTCTTAAGAAGAAGATGAAAATGTGAAAAGTTTACAACGACAATGCCAATGACAACAATGACAACAACAGACAAATTTCGATCAGAAATGCTCACTTGAGCCTTCTGCTATTGCATTCACATCCTTATATGATGAATGAATTCAAGTCCTGGCAGTTACCTGAGTACCATCAGTTTCTTAAGATATGCCTTTGTCCAACTCACACCATTTAGGACTGGAACTTTTGTCCTGTGTCACGTTTAGTTTAGTACAGTTTAGTACAGGACTTTTTGTTCATATCCCATTAAAATCATACAAACAGAATGAATGTATACAGTGTTTTCTGTTTCTGTTAACACAAATTTCTGGGTATTTTAAGCACAAAAAACACTTGTTACCCACTAAAATTCATCTAAAGGTCATCATGACACAGAAAAAATACAATAACAAATTTTTCAATGTTTTTGCCTGGATTGAACCAGTTTATTAACTTAATACATTCGTAGTTTCTAGGAATAAATTGTTGCCCAAAGTTTCTAGGAATAAATCGGCAGTGATCGGAATGACATTTAAATGACAACAATCTGTCTAAATTTTCGAACGATCTATTAAACCAGAAGTCCAAATAAAAATTATTGCTTCTTAAATCGACATGTTAATTTCAGTTTGGCTTTGTCAAAAAGGCTGATATTTTTAGTAGAAAGGTCAGCAAAGCTTAAATCATTGAGGAACAGTTTTGTAAAACATTCAAACAACTTTCAGGTATATATGTATATATATTGCTCTTGATTAACGTGTATTCCAAGAATCCCAAATGGCGGAATTGGTAAAATGTGTAAATAAATGTTCATTTTTTTAAACATCAAATTATGATGTAAGCAAGCATATCTCTTATAAGAACTGAAGGCAAAACCAGAATACATTTTGAAAAAATTCTCTTTGACTCCCAAAAATTAAGGGTTATAAATGACCTTTGGTTTTCAAAAGTAGCAGAAACACTGGTATATCAGTACTTACCGTCGTTCCTGGGTCACAGCGACTTATGGCAATGAACCACCACCGTTCCCTTGATGACCTGAATGTTCGACCTCCAGTACATTTGACCTTTGTGACCCCATTCTCTGTGACCTCTTTGCACCCAGACCAGGTGTAAAGCGTTGAGAGAGCTATGATCTGGTTATTAGCAGGATTTAATACGGCAACTTTTTGATCACATGACTGCAAGATTAATCATTGAATTATTATATCACATTTTCCTCATCATAATAAATACATATTTAAAAACAATCACTTAAATATAATCAATTCTAATAGAAATACAGTCACTCGTAGAAAGGGTATGAAATGGGGTACCTAAAAAAATGTATTGGCCATATATGGGTGGGGTGAAGCTGGGTGTTTGTACAATAAAATTAAATTTGCTGATGTCTTAAATTTAACTATGAGGATCAATATTCAATATGGTTCTTATCTCCACACATTTTTTCGTTGTATTCATATCTTTCCATTTCCCTCTCAAGTAAAACCTTGAACATGCTGACAAAAAGGACAAATATTATATGACTCTGGGGTTACCAGATGAAGATAAATAAAATATACTTGTCATTTTTAAATATCTCTACAAATATTCTAACCTAAGAGTTTAATATTTCCAATGATAGAGAGTAATATTTTCCATTTCAGTGACACGAAATACTTCCAAGGAACCTAATGCAAGCACTTCCAGTCAACTTTACCATCTTTAAATGCAGAGTATATTTAAGTCCTTGCTTAATGTAAACAGGTTGGTCTAAGGACTTATGAATATAATATTATGCACGTCTCAAGAATAGGCCAATGAAGTGTATGAATACATTTTATTCTACAACTGTCCTGATATGTAGGTAAAACTTGGTCATCAGGAAGTCACTAGGACCTAAAATGTTGTGTCCTTATAATCAAGATCCTTTATATCAGTATGGAAAACACTGTGAAAGGTTTTCTATGGAATTCAAAAAAGTTTCCTCATAACCAAGATTTCCTTATAAGTGAATTCTTTGTATCTGAGTTTTACTGTATACTATACATATTACTATATTTATCTACACATCTCTGCTTTCTTTGGTCAGCAAGCTGAATTTAATGGTGCACTCAGTAATTAAAGCAAGAGTTTGGTATTCTAAAATAACAACATACATATGTAGACAGTCAATTTCAAAAGGAATAATGTCTTAGGCGTAATAAAAAAAATATGTTTGTTTACAGTTACCCAACCGACCCTATATTTAATCGCCGACTCAAATTTTTTCCAAAGTCACTCGCCGGACAGTTTAACTTTTACATGCATCTTAATCGATCAAGCATTTGAAATCGAAACTGAAAGTACTAGAATCAAAAAGCACCACATAATGGTAAAACTATTTTGTATTTCAACCAATTCATGTGAATTTGTGTATAAAAAATTTCAATAAAATAAATAAAAAATCCTACCTACCAACCCTATTTTATTTCAGCATGTAATAGTAAACAAACATATTTTTTTGTTTGGCCTTATGGAGAATATACATATAATTAGTGGAACAAAACTTGCCAAAGATTAGTAATATAGGTAAAAAAAAAAAAATAGATATTAAATTAGACACAGTGCATTTTCATAGCAATTAAAGTTTATATGAACACAAATGAATTACAAGAAAGATAAATTTTATTTAATTTTACATTTTTGTTCCATTATGTCTATAATGTAACTTTGATTTTACCCATATCCTCAATGTTTAATATCTATTGCATTCAGTTTCGTTAAGTTTTGGGAATGAAAACTCTGCATGGAGAGGTACTATTATTAAACACTATTATTTCAAAGCAATCAATATTTTAATATGTGTAGCATATCAGTAATTGTATCATCAAACAAGTAAACTAATTTATTTATGCAACAACAACAAAAGTCGAAAAATATAAAATGATTTTTACATTAATTATCATTGGGAAATAATCATCAATATAAGGCAAAATACCATTTTTCGTTTTCTTTTTTTTTAAGGTAAGAGGGTGGAAAAACCTTCCAACAAATGCAATCAAATCAATTTATATACATATATATACATGTAGCAAATACATCCACCTCTTGAATGTGCATACACCCTTAAATGTCACTAGCTCTATTCCTGCTTTGATATCAACCGAGGATCAAATCAAAACCAAAAACTGTTGTGGACAGTACACTATGATACATGTATATATACAATCAAAGAAATTGTCAAGGGGGTGCATGGTACCTGTGTGTATACATATTCATGACTGTTGATGGTTTAAACTGTAGTGAATTGATTATCTGGCATTCTCTTCACTTCAATGACATGATTTTCACAAACTCAGACCAGCTGATCACGTTAAGTTAACGAAACAACTTCATTGTTAAGATTTAAGATTTCTAATCCCTTAAGTAAGTACAATTATGAAATGTGTTTATTAGGGTTTAGCTGTTAGATCAGTGGTCTAGTATCTGGATATTAACTGTCCATGAAATAAAAGAAATAACCCACAGCCCAATTGTAAACAGGCCACTTGAACACACAGTTTTATAAACAGTGGTGTAAATCCATATCCAGGCAAAATGGCGCTGTAGTCTACACATAATTTTTTCAAGGTGTTAAAATCAAATACTGTTGTATATGGATAAAAAAAGGGGGAGAAGTCAATACTGTCATTTTGTATTATGACGCACATATTCTTAGCAAACGGCATTTTACTTATCCGACCATTATAAAAACTGAACAGAAATTAAAAAAAAAAGATGTTTTTGTGTATTTGGAAATCAAAAAAAAAAGTTTTGTTCAAATTTGGATTATTCTATATGGAAGTTTCCCTATTTACCAATTATAGCACTGAAAATGGTTTAATTGAACGGGAGTAAAATTTCTCAAAGTTGTAAAATTTTCATGATGGTTTCTGAAAGTATTATAATATGTTTATATATTAATTACATGTATATTCACTGGTCAAATTACAATTATGGATGTCCTCATGCAAGTCCATTGAGAATTTCTATCGATGAAGGAAATACTTTTTTTTTTTCTTGTGGTGCTTGGAGAGGAATATCTACCCTGATATAACCCTTTTTCAATCTTTTTCTTGGGTAGTACCTCCACCCCCTCCTCTCTGGGGGGATACCCATGCCCTTCTTGCACATATACCGGTAATTAAACCCCATATCTGTAAATGGTTTAATTGAACGGGAATAAAATTTTCTCAAAGTTGTAAATTATGTTCATGTTGGTTTCTTAAAGTACACAAGTTTATATAATTATATTCACTGGTCACCCTCTTGGGGGATACCCCTTCTTGCACACATAAACCCATACCTGGCATTTCACCCCTCAGGTGAATTATTAAGTCTCCGACATCGCATTATCCTATACATGGACAGTAAGGAATATACGCCAATGATAAACATACCGGTAACTGTATATCCTAAAAGATGAAACTTACAAACTGCATCATAAAAGACGTAATGCCAGCAGAGCTGCCATGATTGATAAATGCATGGTTAGACTGAACTCAAGAATAGGTTCTCTTTACAATCAATGTAGAAGAACATTTAACAATTTGTGTCAATGAGCTCAGCAAGCAATTTTGTAATAAACAAATTCTTACAATTAATCATGCATAGATTTATTGGTCAACTTTCGATTGGTTGGTTCCCAAAATAGCACCAGTGTTTTACAAAAATGGTTTATATACTAAGGTACCTAAACAATAGGTACCATCGTCGCAAACCACGGCCAAAATGTACGATCCTCTCCCATTCTGTCCATGGTTGAATGAGAAGAGAATATTTCATAGCTCATTAAAATATTGACCAGTGCGAGTAAAACATAGTCGGATAATGAACTTTGACGTGACCTATCAATATCCAATCACAGTATAGGAAACATTTCTTGTATACTATTGATGTCAATTGTTGATTTCAATTGCGATGGAAACAAATATTGTCATTGGCTGAACATGACGTCACAATACAGAGGCATAAATATTCAAGATTACGACACTTTTTGTGATCAAGCAGTCACGGCTAGGAGAGAGCTATATGCGGACTCCGGATCGTGGCTTGAGACAATGAATAGGTACAAGCAGACATGAAACTTATCTGAACAAAATGTCTCTGATGAGACTGTTGCTCTACTGGTCTGTAATTAGGTATGAAACAAAAAAGATGCATCTGGACTTGAAACACTTATCTTTAGATTGTCAGAATTATGAATGTAAATGTTTTCTTAAAAAAAAAAAAAAAAACCAAAACTGTACAACTGAAGCATTTTGAAAGATTCTCACCTATGGATTATTCTTTTTTTTAATAACCATAGTTACATTTTCATTTTAAATCCATCCACAATCAGAATCTTATCTACCTTCTTAATGAAGTTTAGGTAAGAACTATGGAGGAATAAATTTGTTAATTTGTATATAACTTTTATCAATTTGTTAGCTGATTCATAATTTAATAATAAAAAAAAACAAACAAACAAACAAACACACTTTCCTTCCAACCTATCTTGAAAATATACATAAGAGTAATGTACATTAAACAAAAAATTGTAATGATATTGATGGCCTCAGTCCATAACTGACACTTGAGTATACTTACCAAAGATTTTTTATATACAGATTCCCACTGACTAGCTTCATCAAAGTACAGCAATACATTCTGTGTTTTATATTCCTGTTAAATTATAAAGTTATACATGTAAATTACAAAAGTATTAAATGGAAAAAGCTTTTGTTAATATCTATGATTAGACCTCCACTTGAAAGAGTTACCCTTCATTTGAACATGCAAATTTGAATTCCCTTCACTCAAGGATGCCCTGTGCCAAGTTTCATTTAAATTGGCACAGAGATCAATATTATATGTTTTCAAAGTATGTGCTTAATTTACATGATTTAGGGACTATTTCACTTGCCTGAATAAAAAGTATGTGCCTACATACATACCTATTAGGTATCCTTATCCTCTGGAAAATTTAGCATTAAATGTAATATGGCAGTGACATGCATCCTTAGATGCATCATCTTTGCAAATTCCCAAAAATGAGCAAATATTGCTAGAAGTACATGGTGTCTGTTTATTTTTTCTATCTAACCCTCACGGTAGCTCAGTCGGTAGAGCGCTCGCTCCGTGATTAGAAGGTTATGTGTTCAAATCACGGCCGTGACTGACCTAAGTGGATAAAAAAAATTGGTAGCAACTGTTCTTTTGCCAAGCGCTTGGCACTTTGTAGTGAAAGTTGCAGGTCCTTTGGATGAGACCTTAAAAACCGAGGCCCCGTGTCACGGTAGGCGTTGGCACAATAAAGATCCCTCATTGCTCAATGGCCCTGAGTGCCAAGTTAAGGTCAAAATTTGAAGCCCTTCACCAGTATATGGTGACATCTCTATATGTCGAGTGAAAAATTCTCGACGGGACATAAAACAACATACAATCAATCAATCTTTCTATCTTTAATAATCCAATATCCGCATTAAAGAAATGAAGATGTTGGACAGCATAGTATAAACTTTTATACTCAAAATCTGTGAGTAGAAAACACAAGGCACATAACTGTTTTTAAGACACACTAATTTTAAGATTATCTTTAAAAAACTTTTTCAGGCACATAATTTTTTAAAGTTTTAGTTAAGGCCAAATAAAAAAATATGTGTGGTTCCGGTTACCCGACCTTCCCTATTTTATACCCCCGACCCTAAACTTTTTTTTGGCAATTTTCATATTTTTTCTGGAATTTTCCCCGATTTCCATCAATGGCTCCGGTTTAAGTTTTAGTTTCAGCAATGACGGCCTCCTTGCAAAACATAGTGCAAGTGTTTAATAGTATTAAGTCCAAAGCAAGCTAGCATGTAGGTGTCCCCTACCAATATTGACTAGTATATTATAACATCACATCTAAATGCCATTTGCAAAGCAGTGATAGGTATTATTTAGAAAAATTAAGAAAATCATTTTGTTAAAAAAAAAAAAAAAAAAAAAAATCCCTACCTACCTACCCTAATTTTTTTTGGAAGTGTAACCGGAACCACACATATTTTTTTGTTTGGCCTAATAATATTTAATCATCTAATTCCTGTGTAATTTTGGTATAATTTTGTTTACAACATTCAATTTTCAGTTCCTCTTAAGAATGACCCAAAATTTAATTTGAAAACAAAATGGAAAAAAAACCCAGGATTAACCTTTTCCCCAGAGAATTCAAGCAATTATCAATACACAGTTCTTTAACATTGAGAACATTATAAGGAATGGTAAAATATGCCATCTAAGAGCAGTGTGTCAATCTATATAATAATCTTCTTAATAAAGAATGAAAACTTAATCCTCTCATCAGGTGAAGCATAACTATTGAATTCTATAAAGCTGTTTAACCTGAGCAATATAGCACACCGAGATCAAACTTATTTATGGAAAAAGACTTAATACACCATTGAATGATTATTTTGTAATTTTGTCCTTAGTACAGGTATACTTGAAACATTTCAATAAGATTTTGGTCATCCAAGTTGTATAAAGTGGTAACAGAATGAACAACTTAATACAATCATAGATGAGTAAACTTAATTATTATAATTACAAAAAGACATATATTCAGGTACATTCAGTTCATAGAAAAAAATGGAATAAAGTATATGATTCTACACATATTATAAATCATTGTGGTTCTAAACTATTAAACAAAAATACTAATTTACAAAATAAACAAAAAACACCAATTCTTTTAAATTCAGTTTTTAACATTATTTTTAAGATTTAAGTTATTTGTATTTAAATTCAAACATTGAACTTACCACTGGGTATTCAAACTCAAATCTTAGAGACCCTTTATTTGAAAGAAAACAAAATCTTGCTAAAAATTCCCAGTCCTACAACGAGAACAAAATTATTTTGAGTATCTCCAAACTATTCACTTTTAATTTTTACAAAAGCTAACGACAGTGAAGGTTTATGTAAACAAATATAAATATTTTCCAAACCTCTTTGGTTGAAAGTGTTCCATCCAGCCTCAGACACTTGGCGGGAAAAATCGTTAGCGACAATAGACAGGCTATTAGTAACAGCAGAAGATCCATAGTCATGATGACAGTCCTGTGATCTAACAACCCTATCTTCTGTCGACCGCCATCCGTGTCTTACTTGCTGGGTATTTACACGCTTCGTCGCGTAGAGAAGAATTAATGAAGCATGACGCAGGTAAGTTTAAAAAAAAGTTAGAGTAAGTTGTACGTCTAAACATTCGTTAAGCAACGATATTCAACAAGTTATAAAGAGCACGTATTCAGATTATAAGCTATAGAAAGCATATTTTTCTTTTAATTAATGACCACATTTCCAATTTTGTGAAGAAGCCAGTGGATAGAACGTTCTATCGTTAAAATGATATTGTCTTACGGACCGAGGGCTTGTCCCGATACACAGTACTCTGGTACTATGAAGCCAGTAGCATGTCCAGTGAAAAATTCAGCTGGAAGGGGACGTATCCCCCAGCCCCTTTGTCACCACGGGCACTGGAAGATATTGAGTAATGTGTGTGTATAAAAAGGACATTTTTTAATACATGCACATACTCAATATTTACATTACTTCCAGTCCCCGTGTTTGTCACCAGATTAGGCTTTAGTACATGTATAATTAGTCCTAAGCTTAAGGGTCGTCGCCAGGTTTCTGAAAATGGGTGTGAGGGGAGGGGTATCCCTTAGTTACAATAATCTAACTGTGTCTTGGGACAAGCCCTTAAACAGGGTCCGTAGGACAATTACAGTGCTTACGGTAGTTCCGGATCATCGGTAGTTCCGGATCACTTTTCTGTGTAATAATTCTTTTAAAAATAATTGTTGAAGAAAAATTATTATCAATATATCACATGCGAAGAATAGGGGGCATTACTACTTCCAATAAAAAATCGAACAGTTCAACTTTACAATGCACGATTTTGATACTAAGGGCGAATTTGTTTCTCAAAAACTGGTTTTAGTTTTGAACTAGTTTTGTAAACTGTTCATTTGTTCCACAAACTGGTTTTAAACTAGTTTAAACCCAGAACCGGTTTTCCATTTGTTTTTGCTGTAACTGAAACCAGTTCGTTAAACCAACCAAACCACCTCCGATGGTGGTTTATTCGGTTTACGAAAGAGCGGGAAGTATTCCAGTATGGCGGTGATGAAAGATGGTGACTATTTTAATAAAGAAAAAAGTTATAGATGATTGTTTTTTCGAGGACAAACAAATCTTTTTGACTTTAATGACACATTCTGATGTTTTATATAAAGCTTCAGAGAATAGATATATGCTGCATATTGTAATGGTGTTTGTTGAATGATAATTTTCAAAAATTAGTTCTGATTCATTTGAACAAACTTTAACATGTATGGTAAATTGTAGAACATACTATAAAAACAGTTTTAATGTTGGAAATCTAAAGAGTATAATTATAAATACCCAAGTTTTTATCTTTCCATGTGTTAAAAATGTAGAAATTGATCATTTGATGAATCTTTGAGGCATTATAAATGTAAATACTACATTTTTAAGTAAGATAAACAAGGAACAAAAAAAATACAATTTCTTGGATTCTTTTATTAAGAAAAAGATTTTAACTTTATTTGCATGTGTAATTTGGTTAATATGTTGTTCTAGCTCTTCATATTAAAGTTCCTACATTGTAAATGCACATGAAAAACGTCATAAAATTATTGCAATTCTATCTCTTTTTTCATCAACAGCATTATTTCCGCGTTAAATTTCCAATTAACATGATTAATATTAATATAATTAATCACAGGGACTTGAGACAATCTTAGCAAAATCGGGTATATAGTATAATAGTATTAATATATAATAATATTATACTATATACCCAATTTTGCTAAGATTGTCTCAAGTCCCTGTGAAATTAATCATGCATGGATCTTTTAGACGCCATCTTGTATAAACTGTTCATTTGTTTTACCGAGGTAAACCGGATCGAAACTTATAACCAGTTTGAAAACTAGTTTTAAACCTTAAACCAAAACCTGAACTAGTTTAGGCGCAACAAATTCGCCCTAATTAGTTGCGTCAGAAATAAAGCGCCCCAAAGACAAAGATCGTTGTTTTGACAGTTTTACACGTGCTTTTTAAGAAGAGTTGTTCTTTTTGTTATACATTAGACGAGTAAGGAATTGATTGAACCTCATAAAATGTTTACTTGTTATATACTCTACTTCACCATATATAAGAAACTTATATCAATTAAACCTTATATTTAAAACAAATAAACACTGTGAACCCACCGTTACTGCAGTTCCGGATCACCTCACTCCGCAAGAAGGATTGTCTCAAACATCGTTTAATCACGTTAACTGTATTATTTTGTATGGTCACTTTTATGTGGTGAACACGTTATCAAAATAAAATTAAAATAAAATATTTATTTTCTTTTGTTATTTAATCTCATTCCAGCACAGAATACTAACAACAAACACAGTCACGTACATATCAGAGCTGCGTATTTTAAAGGATTTGCAATGTAGAAAAATTTATTATATAATTTTCTTATGTCTTAAAGAAAAAGTAAACTCCGTAATTATCATTTTGTATGTTGTTTTTTAAACCTCTATAATCCACTGTAAATTGTTGGTGATATTCAACTAATAAATGATTTTTTTAAAATCTTAATTCATTAGAATTGCATGGATGCCTCGATCTATACTTCAATCTATTTTTCGAAAAACATGCATGTCTGATATTTATTTTAATTTAAATCACATTTACTTCTGTTAAAATAAATTCACCAATATATATCTTTTTTTTATATCACCAGCTTCAAAACTTAAAATATGGCCTGGTTCGTCATGTTCGTTGGAATCTGATCAGGTGTTCGATATTAAATTAATTTAACTTTTTTTTCCTAAAAGATGAATGATTATCACACGTTTACTGCATAATTCATATTCATAATTATACATAATGACAAATTATTGAAATATTTCCCATAAAAAAAAAACAAATTGATATAACAGTGGAAATTTACTTTCTATTTCTTCATCTTTCTAAATAAGGCCTAGATAAAGAGTTTAATTTCTATTCCAATCTGTGAAAAAAAATTATATTTATTTACATATATTATTAGTCAGCCCACGGGCTGACTAGTTATCATACGAAGAACTTCAATTGCGCTTGCGTGTCCTGGAATTCTGGGAGGTAGACTGGTACCCTGACATTGGTTAATCTAAGTAGCGCAAGCGATTCTGGGAGATTGTCATCATTGACGTAGAGTAAGTCACTCCTGTTGATTTCGCTTAATTCGGTAAAATCAATATGGATTAAACAACGAAATCCCTATTTTAACACCATATACCTATAAAATGTAAATACAGGTTAAAACAGTAAAGGCGTTTGGCGCTGATTTCTTTGGAAAAACGCCCTATATTGGGGTTTTGTAGTTTGCATTCAGGCGCGGATCCAGGATTTGAAGTTAGAGGGGGCGCAAAAAGTAGGCAGGGGGTCTGGGGGCCGCCTTGAGGCCCCCAGTGGGTCCAGGGCGGAGCCCTGGTGTGGGTCCAGGGGGCGAAGCCCCCAGGAAGCTCCTGGATTCTAGAGGTTTTGTAGGGTAAAAATGAGGTCTACCAAGTAGAAATTTTTACATTTTCTCGACGAAACTATGATTTACGCTAACTTTGACAATTTTAGGGGGGCGCGCGCCGGGTGCGCCCCCCTTAAATCCGCCACTGGCATTTTCAACAGTAACTCAGGTTCGCATCTATTCATAAAACGTGTGTTCTACGCAAGAAAGCATAAAATTGTATAAATTCATTTTACTCAGAGTTTCGCGTCAGTTAAAACTCTTTTGAAAAGTATCTTAAATCAATTTTACATGTGTATTCAATTCTGCAGCATAAATATTTTATTATTTCAGATTTTGAAGCTTTTCAGTTTTATTGGTTTAATTTTTGTTTTCATTTAAAGCATACGATCCCGATGTTAAGTATCAAATTGACCAAATATAATTTGTAAAGGCATGCAATGGATAGATCGGGAGAGACACACTGGCTTCGCCTGCTACATTCTTTTTTTAGCTCACTAGAGCTGAAAGCTCAAGTGAGCTTTTCTGATCACCCGTTATCCGTCGTCCGTCCGTCTGTCTACCTGTCCGTCCGTCTATAAAATTTTTCACATTTTCAACTTCTTCTCAAGAACCACTGGGCCAATTTTAACCAAAGTTGGTACAAAGCATCCTTGGCTGAAGGGGAGTTGAAATTATTAAAGTGAAATGCCAAGCCCTCTTACAAGGGGAGATAATCAAGAAAAGACAAAAATAGGGTTGGGTCATTAAAAAATTTTTTCTCAAGAACCACTGGGCCAGAAAAGCTGAAACTTATGTGGAAGCATTCTGGGCAGTGTAGATTCTACATTGTTCAAATCAGGACCCCCGGGGATAGGGTGGGCCAACAAAAGGGAATTCAAATTTGACATTGAAATATATATAAAAATAAATCTTAAAAAATCTTCTTCTGAAGAACCACTGGGCCAGAAAAGCTGAAACTTATGTGGAAGCATTCTGAGGTGGTGTAAATTCTACGTTGTTAAAAACATGACCCCGGGGGCAGGGTGGGGCCACAATAGGGAATCCAAATTTTACATTGAAATATAAAGAAATAAATCTTTAAAAATCTTCTTCTGAAGAACCACTGGGCCAGAAAAGCTGCAACTTATGTGAAAGCATTCTGGGGCAGTGTAGATTCTACATTGTTCAAATCATGACCCCCGGAGGTAGGGTGGGGCCACAATAGGGAATCCAAATTTTACTTTGAAATATATAGAAATAAATCTTTAAAAACCTTCTTCTCAAGAACCACTGGGCCAGAAAAGTTGAAACTTATGTGGAAGCACTCTGGGGAAGTGTAGAATCTAATTTGTTCAAATCATGACCCCCCAGAGATCGGGTGGGGCCACAATAGGCAACCCAAGTTTTACATTGAAATATATAGAAAAAATCATTAAAATACTTCTTCTCAACAACCACTTGGCCAGAAAAACTTAAACTTGTGTCGAAGCATCGTGGGGTAGTGTAGAATCTTATTCAAATCATGACCCCCAGGGGAAAGGATGGGGCCACAATAGGTATTACAAAGAGGAAAACCTGGTGAAGAACAGGAGGGCTAAAGTTACTCAGGTGAGCGTTGTGACCCATGGGTCTCTTCGTCTTTCTATCATTAAATTAAACTG